GTTGGATTCTCAGTAGAAATTGTTTTGAAGATTGATTGGGAGGTGTCTTTATGGTCGTCTTGTGGACATCTGGTCTGCTATGTGATACTTTTTAAAAGGGCCATGTGAAAGATCATCACTGCTGATAAAATAATGGACAGGAGTATGGTCAACCAATAAAAGTAAAGAATGCTTCCACTATATACCTCTTAGTCTTAGAGGTTGAGGGACATTATTCAGGGGAAGATCTCTTTGTAGCCTCTATGGAACTAAGTTCCCTTTATGGAAGCCTAACAGACTGAAGTACAAATGTGAAATAACTTTGCATATAATGACAAGAGCCCAAGGACCACACATAGACATAAAGATCAGATAGGCAAATAGGGACACATAGAGAAAAAGAATTTGCAAAATGCCATTGAACAGGTCAATAAAAAGTTGAACTCGTGGTTTTTGTTTTGTCTTTTTTGTAGCTAAATATTTAATAGTTCATTTTGAACTTTAAATGATCATGCAAACCCAAAATGTAGGAATAATTTAGTAACCAATGAAGCTTAATGTGGAAATCCAGCCAGTGAAGAGCATGCACAATGAAACACATACATTCAGAAAGACAAACTTATAAATTCGGATCCATGGGGAAAGGTTAAAAAAACCTAAAATCCTCTTTCAAGTTCTCTTTCATGTACAGTTTAGCCTGCCCTACATCAATAAGGTTTCAGCATTCCTGTGGAGTCTGTTTCCTGATAGGGTCTAACTTTAATCTTGAAAACCTGTCTCTGTTTTTCCTTCACTCATTCTTATATCCAGATAGTTAAGGTGGAGTCAAGTTTCTAGGGTTCTCTTCATTTCTTAGTCTTAATGTGCTTTTGTAACTGTTCTCTTATAACTCTTTCAAGATGATCTCTGGCTTTCCAATAATTATTCTCTACTATTGTTTATTTATACCAGTATTTCTCAACTTTAGCAATTTTATGATGTGTAGACTTCAATTCCCAGAAGCTCCTAGCTTGCATGTTGGCTGGGGAATTCTGGGAGTTGAAGTCCACACATCTTAAAATTGCCACCATTGTGAAACAATTATTTATATTGTTGTTGTTACTGTCTATCCTGCATGTTTTTGCATTATCTTGCCTACTTCTTACAACAAATTTTGATTTTGCTTGATGTTATGCTTGATGTGATTAATCAGTTTCTTGCAGACTGACCTTGACCTTAATTTGGAATGAGAGGAAGTGATTTGCTCAAGGTCACCCAGTTGGCTTTCATACCTATAGGAGAACTAGAGTCTGGGTCTCCATGATTTTAGTCCAGAATCTTAACCACTACACCATGGTGACTCACTTTTACTTATTATATTTAACAATTCTATCATTTAAAGCCTTCTCCCATTGAAGATAGCATGTGTATGCAACTAACTCCTCAGTTGATGTCTGGTAGGAGAGGGTTGCTTCCTACTAAGGGAGAATCCTTGCTGCAGTGGAATTCTGACTTCCCAGAATTATATTTAATTGGGATGCTTCCTCACCATTCAAATAAATAGATATTTTCCTTTGACCACATATATGAGATAAATAGCCTAGCAGGAACCTCAATATGTCCATGAGCAGAATGGCGCCTATGGCACTGTATTGAAAATACTGGAACTGATGGACAAGAAGCATTTGAGTAGGTAAAAGGAGAAGATACTAAATCTAGGAAGAATGTGATGGGGAAGCAGGACTGATAAGTCAGCACACCAAGCATTCCTCCACACACTCTGGAGACCTCAGAAGCTTCATGGCATGCATACCCAGATGATGTACAATTGGTCCATTATGTCAACATACACTACTAATGAAGATAGCAGTTTTATGTACACAAAGACCAAAAAGCATATTATAAGAAAACTTGTAGAGAATAGGGAACAACAAGCAAGAGAAAGAGTTTCTTCTGAAAGAAATTGAGGCTCTTTCAGTAGATAGTAAGCATTTTATTATCACTCCAAACCAAAATTATAATTATTTAAGTCAGGGGTGACAAACTCAAGGGCCGTGAGTAGGATTTGGCTTGTGGGGTGCTTAAATCTGCCCCGCGAGGCTGGCCTGGAAATATCAAAGGACCGGTCTGCAGTGCCTCTGCCAGCCATAACAGGCCCCGCAGAGCGCAGCCTGTTTTTCACCTCCCCAGCCTCCAGCAGCACTCTGCCAGCCGAAAATGGGCTGCTGCGAGGCTCCCACGTGGCCCGTTTTCAGCCGGCAGAGTGTTGCAGGAGGACTGGATTGGACTGGATTACAATTATGTGGCTTCAAGTAAGTGCCTGATTTGGATAGAAAACAAGCAACATCCTTTATTAATCCTACAGTTTAATGCCAGATTTTACATACTGTAGGTCCATTTAATCTACAATCAATTATCTATAATTGACAGCCATTTCTATTTACTACCCTGGAAATTTACCTCTGCTGTTAGGTCTTGTATTATGTTATTTATGCTATTGTATTTTTATTATTAGTTGTTAATAATTCTGGATTATTATAATGCCTGGAAAAGCAATTTACTATTAAACAATGGGGTATAAATTTAGAAATAAAAAGTTTAGTGGAGTATGAAGAATAAGTAATATATGTTTGCCAGTAATATCTGGTAGAAGAGAGAGGAAAATGGTTATAGTAAAGAACTGTGGAAAGAAAGAAGGGGAAAAAATGCATCTTGAGACTGTGTCAAACATCCACCATGGCCACATCACCGCCAGCCATACACCACCACCCTGGACCTCCGAGATCAAACACAACCCTGATGTGGCCCTCAATTAAATAGAGTTTGACACCCCTGATCTAAGTCTAAGAAACTGAAGTAATGCAAGCAGAATTTCTCTTTGTACACCCTCCCCAAACTCAACTGAATACAGACAAGTATGTTCTATTGAATGAAATTGGACTAGGGATATAACACTTTTGAAAAATTTAAAGCAATAGAATAAACCCCATTTTAGTAAATAGTTTATTCAAACAATAGATTTTATTCTTTTTTATTTTTATTTCAAAAGGAACAAAAGCTATTGAACTCTAAGGAATTAGCATCTCTTTATTTTTGTCAATTTAGGAAAAAAAGATAGGCAAACAGAAAACAAAAGAAGCCATCAATATAGTATTAAAATGAAGAAAATATGTGTTTTACAAATATAAGTTATAATTTCAGAAATAAAATCATGGAAAGGTCAAAATGCAGATGTCATGTAAAATAATTAGTTTTTCTTGATATAATACTATCAGTATCACAATTTCTTATAATTTCCAATGTTTTATTTTTATTATTTAATTATTTTATAAACCTTAACTATTAATAAAATCTTTCTTTTATGTCATTTACTTCTTGATTTACTTTCAAGCACAGACCAATTGCTTTTTATTTAAATGTATATAATTTTGAAAAAACTATTTTGTAATCCAGTTTCAATCATCTCCAGGTTTAAGCAGAAAAATACCTTAGGCAAGGAAAACTAATTTTCTTCCTAGCAAATAGAACAGGTTCTCAAATATCTTAATTTAATATCAACCATAATCACACTGAATCAGACTAAATATGTTTACCTGAATTGAATAAATTGTATAGACTTGCATAGAACTTGGAGCACTTAAGCTCATTGCCTTCAATCAGTTTTTCAGAGAGTAACTAAACCGAAGTTCACTTTTCTTGGCGTAGTTTGAATCAATACCCAAAATTATAAGATATCTCTCTCATTAGCAGCCATCCTTTGGAATTAGTACATAATTTTCAAGGGCAGAAGTCAACTTTCTGTGTTTTTTTCTTTTTCCGCTTCTTTTTTTTTTCTTTTCCTTTTCCTTTTCCTTTTTTCTTATTTTTGTTTACATTTTTACATTTTATGTAATAAAATTCTAATGAACTTTTTTTTTTTTAAAAAAGTATCGGTAAATAATTTTAATGAAAACAGATTTAGGTGCAAACTCAGAATTCAAATTTTTGTTGAGTTTTGTATAATGTTTTGATGCAACAATTGGGTACTGCATCTGAGTGTTAATTCAAGGAAAGTTATCCATGCTCCTTTAGACCAATTTACTTAGCTCCATAGGCTGAGGTATTCTTTTATTTGTGATTTTAATTTTTTTTTAATTTAACTATTATTTTAATAGTTTCAACTTGTTTCATTTTTAAATTTATTGTACACTGATTGGTTTGCGATGTCACTGATATGGCAAGTACAGAGAAATTGTTTAAATCAAACAAATAAACTGTACAATTTGTTAAACAGTATATGCAACCTTTTTTTTACTTCTCTAAAGCTTTTTGTGTACTTTTGTTTTAGTGTTAAAATGAAACAATACACACCTTTTCACATTACATGACATGACCTCAAATAAGAAATAATCCTATTCCTCATAAGTCCCACTGATGTTATGGGATTGCTTTGTGACTGGATATGTATAAGATTATACTTTCTGACTGAATACAGCAGTTAGTGGGAAAATGCCTGCAGATACTTGATAGACTTTGTTTTATAATCTCCACCTTCCATCTTTGACTATCTCTTCATACTATTACCCCATCTCTTTTAAAAGATTTTAGTTTATTCCAGAATTCTTGATAACTCTTTAGTTCTGCCCCTGACTATACCAATTCATTTTCACCATTTGGTATACATAGAAGTCACTTTATTCACTTTATTTTCCTTACTTTGGTGGTTTTTCCCTTCCTATTGGCTGAAACAATCCACTACTTTCTGCAGCTAAACTGCAATTGGTCAGAGTTTCTGAACTGCCCCTTGAAAGAGAGTTAACCCTGCAGCTGCCAGGTCACTAACCAGTACATTAGAAAACTGACCTTCCTCCTATTACAATGTACCTTCTGTCCAGGAAGACAGAGAGATACAAAGTTCGCATTTTGAATGAACAATTAAAAAGCTAAAATGCAATATGCAAATCTCACTAGCCATCTGTCAAGTTCTGCTTGGGAGGGAGTCCCCAGCACTGCCCAGGAGGCTACAGGATTTAAAAGCAGCAAAATTTAGAAGCAGAGTCAGATTGATGAAATGAAATACTTTATTTTACTTCATCATTGCGTTTGTATCACTTAGATATATCTTATTTATTGATGTTGGCCTCAGATCAGATAAATAGAACTATATTTGATTTTATTATTTTAATATATCTGCATGCATGGTTATGTACCATTGTCTAACAGTATAGTTTGGTGGTTTTGTTTTTATTTTTAATTATTTAACATGTACAAATAGCATGGATACTTGAATGGCAAGCTCTATCTTATTCATTGGCTAATCATAAAAAGTTAGAGCTTAACTATTTACACTTCATTCCTAAACACTTTGCTGAATTGTATATTCATTGCAAAATAATCATATTTAGTCATTTATACCTAAACTATTCCTGGCCAGGCAAACATTGGTAAATGATAATTATTATAATTCAGATAATTGAGAATGCTTTTTTGTACCATGTTATTGCATATACTTTGTTTAAAGGATTGTTTGAGATATGTCTTTGGCCTTTCAAGTAATGAAATTTCACCTTCTACTATTTGACGCACAAGTTCTTGCATTGAAGGCATATCTTCTTCCTACAAGCAAGAAATGAGAAAAGTAAATGTCTGAAGATAATCATTATCTAGATTGAAGTGTTCAGTGCAGCATCACCATCTTCTATCAGTCTAATAACAGTAATGCACAAGGATTTCCAAATAACCCACAGATAAATAAATTTAGCACGCATTAGTAAAATGCTTCACCAAAAAGAGAATTCTAATCTAAAACCAAAGTCAACCTGGGATTTATTGCTTTGTGTCTTTAGCCACAGGCTCCCTCTTAAGCCTCTCTTTCACCTTCACTTATTCCCAAAGCCCTGACAACAAATTCAGAGAAGCAGCTGCTCACCACATTCCCTGGAACGCAGGCAGACATGCCAGTTGATCCACAAAGTGCTGCCTAGCACATGCCATGTTCATTTCAATAGAATCGCTGTTGACAGAACACTTTTATTACTCACATTTGGGGAAGCCTGACACCAGTGAAAGTGCAGAGTTTATCGCACAAGCATGTGATAAACTGAGTGCGAGAGGATAATTTCTCATTAATTTATAATGAGAAAGGAAAATGTACGCATGCTACATTCTTATTACTATTTCTTCCATCCCCATTTTTCTTTCCCAATCCTTTATCAATTACATCATCTATTTAAACTCACAAGGTTTACTTTTAAGATATTTTGTAAAGCACCATTAATGAAGGTTGTACTATATTACACCAAAAAACAATATTTTCTGTTTCAAACCATATTAATAGGACAGACTGAAATTATACATATATGTATACATATAGGATTAATGCCCAGATGTACTTGCTTTCTTCAAAAGAACCATTTGAATTATAACTGAGGAAAAAAATTAAAGATGTGTCACTGTATTGAAATTAATTAAATTATATATATATATGTATACCGTATTTTCCGGCGTATAAGACGACTGGGCGTATAAGACGACCCCCGACTTTTCCTGTTAAAATATAGGGTTTGGGCTATACTCGCCGTATAAGACTACCCCTCTTCCAACGCACACCAAATAAAAATTAAAAAACATCAACTGGCTCACCCACAATATAAAAGCAGCTGTGCTAGACCCGAAATGGCCCCTGCAACAAGCAGGAACCTCACATAGCCACAAAAAGCCCAAAAAAACAACTTTCACACTTTACACACACACAACACAACACAACTGGCTCACCCACAATGTAAAAGCAGCTTGTGCTAGACCCAAAATGGCCCCGCAACAAGCAGGAACCTCACACAGCCACAAAAAGCCCCCAAAAAACAACTTTCACACTTTACCACACACAACACAACACAACTGGCTCACCCACAATGTAAAAGCAGCTATGCTAGACCCAAAATGGCCCCTGCAACAAGCAGGAACCTCACACAGCCACAAAAAGCCCAAAAAAAACAACTTTCACACTTTACACACACACAACACAACTGGCTCACCCACAATGTAAAAGCAGCTGTGCTAGACCCAAAATGGCCTCTGCAACAAGCAGGAACCTCACAGCCACAAAAAGCCCAAAAAAACAACTTTCATACTTTACACACACAAAATTCCACATACAGCTTTGTGAGATTTTGTGTGTTTGTGTAGTTAGAGTGAAACACTACAGAAACACACTAAATCTCAGAAAGCTGCACAAATATTATTTTATTTTTATTTTTATATGAAAACTAAATTTAAAACTTCCTAAATTTTAAATGGCTAGGTCTAAAAAAGAACAACTAAAAAAAAAACCAATTAACTATTTTTTTTAAAGCTCCCAAAGGGGGAAAAAACTTATAGAACAGGGGTCTCCAACCTTGGCAACTTTAAGGCTTGTAGACTTCAACTCCCAGAATTCCTCAGCCAGCTTTGTTTTGCTGGCTGAGGAATTCTGGGAGTTGAAGTCCACAACTCCCTGCCTGCTTGATTGCAGGCAGGGAGTGGCTTGCTGATGGAATGGATTCAGGCAAGCGAAGCAAGGCAAGCGTTGCGATTAGCAGCTAAGGTAAGCAAGCTGGAGGGGGAAAACTTTTTTCCTTTTACAGGGCTCTGGCATCCCAGCTGAGTTGCCTGATTAGCAGGCAAAGCTGGGATCGTCAGAGCTTGGATCGCCAGAGCCATTTAAGGCTCGTCAGAGTCTTTCGGGCTGGTCTGCCTGGTTACAGGAGAACGACACCTGGCGTATAAGACGACCCCCGACTTTTGAGAAGATTTTCATGTGTTAAAAAGTCGTCTTATACACTGGAAAATACGGGGTGTATATATATATAAAAAAATGCAAGTCTTGGTGTATTCAGGTCTTTTCCTGTGTAAGATTGGAGTATCTTGGCGACGTTTCGATGAGGTCCCACTCGTCATATTCAGGCTGGTGTCTTGGGCTTCGTGCATGTGTGAGCAAAGCGTGAGCGGAGATGCCGTCTCTCTATAAATAGTGGTGGGGTGTGGAGCGCTGGCTTTGTTGTTGTAAGCAGGTTGGTTGGCTGTGTTGTTACATCTTGATTAGTTGATGGAGTTGATGTTTGCAGATTAGTCAGCTATTTCGTAACATCCTGTGTGGGCGAGGTCCTAGCTGTGTGCCCATTAGGCTTTTGTGTTATAACAACCTGGGTAATGGGCCGTGTGGCAGCAGCCTGAGTCCTGTGCTGCAACATCCTGGGTAGTTGGCTGCGTTGTAACATCCTGAGCTTCAGTGTTGTAACATCCTGAGTTCTGTGATGCACTGTCTCGAGCAGATGGCTGCGATTCAACATCCCGGGCCCTGGTTTGGCTTCGAGTCTGAGGTCTTGTCATGTGCTCATGGCTTGTGTTAGTTTGCTTTCTGTGGGGATCGAGGGGGGTGCAGCAGCTGGCGATACCACCACGGTCTGGCCCTTGGACGGTGGCTGCATTTCGTCTATGGGATGGGTTTGGGTTTGAATCTGGTGAGGATGATTGGTGGTGGCATAATGTGTTATCCTGGGTCTGGTGTCAATGTTTGTGCCTGGGGCTCATTTGTTGACTAGGACTAGTTTCCAGATGTCTGGTAGGCGGGAGGTATTGTCACGTTTATTCATGTTATGGGGGTGTTTCTCTATTTCGATGGTTTCCATGATTATTCTCTTGTTCATGGAATCCATCGAAATAGAGAAATATTGGAACAGCAGCCAATCAGGCTGAATCTCATGATGAAAATGATGATGATAATAATAATTGTATAGTAGTATCCAGACTAAGGAAAACTAAGGAAGCAGGAATGCCACTGGGTTTAATGGGAGGATTAAGAATATAAACAGAAAGGGATTTAATATTAGTAGAAAAATCACACAAGGAGAAAAATTAAACACAATGGGATTTAATATTAGTAGAAAAATTCACACATGGAGAAAAATTGCCGTTCTCAAGTACAAAGAGTAAGGAGAAAATAAAATGAAATACCTAATAACCATACATTAAAAATAGACCATACTGAATAGTATAGAAATTACTCAGAAAATAGCGACATAGAAAATAGTTTCTCAGAAAATAAAACATGTATTTATCAAGGATTAAGAGATCAAATATATATATATTAAATATATGTTTGTATATTTATATCCACCTTTTTAAAAGGCACAATGAATAATAATAAAGTAAAACATTAATAAAATAATAGCACAAAAGCAAAGATTGCAATAATATAGTCCATGGTAAAGTGCATTATAATAATGCAGATGAGTTGTAATAAAGATATTTCACAAAATTGCATTCTGCGAAAATGGATTAAGTTGCTGCATTATATTTTGTTGGAGAAAGCTGCTAATACCAAAGCATCAAGAGTAAAGACAATATTCAGTAAAATCCTCAGTAAGTAAATTAAGGCTACCAAACAAAAGTAAGTAACATAAATTAAGGCCAGATATTCCAGATAACTCTCAAACCATTTTATATTAAAGGTAGCACCTTTTCCAGACAACACAAATGAAGCAACCAATAAAACAATTTAAATATATACATATAGCATTCAAAAAGATTTAAGAATTAATCCTAACAACTTCAATTCAAAAATCTCAGTAAGACCAAGAAACCATACTGGTCTTGTCTGGATGTCTTTTGTTTTTCCTTCTCTGTATTATTTTTGTTTAGGCCTTTAACATTTCATTTTTCAGAGTTTCCGATGCATCCTGAACTGCTTTTCCTTCTAGAATTTCCATCCATGGAACACAGTTAGTCCTTGATTTACAACAGTTTGTTTAGTGACTATTCAAAGTTACAACAGCACTGAAAAATGTGACTTATGACCGTTTTTTATAGTACTGACCTTTGCAGCATCCCCATGATCATGTGATCAAAATTCAGATGCTTGGCAAGTGGTTCATATTTATGACCTTTGCTGTGTCTCAGGATCATATAATCAAATTTTGCAACCTTCTTACAAGAAAAGTCCATGGGGAAGCCAAATTCACTTAACAACCAGGTTACTAACCTATGAACTATAATGATTCACTTAACAACTGTGGCCAGAAAAGTCATAAAATGGGGTAAAACTCATTTAACAAATGTCTTACTTAACAACAGACATTTTGGGCTCAATTGTGGTTGTTAAGTCGAGGACTACCTACACTTCCTAATCTCTCTCTTAATTTGTTGAAGTCAGCTCTCCTAAAGTCTAAGAGTCTGAGTTGTTCAATCCCTTAGTGTCTGCATTATAGTGAATTCTAGTATGACATGGTCACTCTCCCCCAAAGTTCCTACAACTTCTTCATCCCTCAATCATTTCATCCCGATTAGTTAGGATTAAGTCCAATATAGCTGACCCTTTAGTTCCCACCTCCACCTTTTGAGTGACAAAGTTGTCAACTAAGCACATCAGAAACCTGTTTAATCCCCCACTCACTGAAGAGTTTGTTTCCCACGATGTTAGGGTAATTAAAAGTCCCACATTAGTACAGTGGTATGTTTCCTGTGTACTTTGGATAATTGATTAGCAAAAAGTTCTTCTTGGTTGGTGATCTGTATTACAATTTAATTTATTTTTCCCTTGATAGTCACCCAAATGCTTTCAAGAAGACTTTCATCCCTAG